GTGTGACAGGGGGCGGTGCCCCAACCCCCCAATCGGCCCTACCCTGAGCGTGACTGAGGGTGGCATCACAACCTCCCAATCCGCCCTGCTCTGTGCATGACGGGGCGGCGCCCCAACTCCCCAATCAGCCCTGCTCTGAGCCCGACCAGGGGCTGCACTTAGGGATTGGGCCTGCCTTCTGCCACCCAGGAGCAGGCCTAAGCCAGCAGGTCGTTATCTCCCAAAGGGTCCCAGACTGCGAGAGGGCACAGGCTGGGCTGGGGGACCCCCCTCCCCCCCCAATGCACAAATTTTTGTGCACCGGGCCTCTAGTATGTATATAAAAGGCTAATATGCTAAGTGTCCAACCATCTGACTGGTCACTATGATGTGCACTGACCACCAGGGGACAGATGCTCAATGCAGGAGCTGCTGAGCTGCAGTGACTCTGCAGCGGCGGTTCTCGGGTGATGCACCCTGAAACCAGAGAGGAAGGACCCCGATTCCTCACAAGGCCATGTGATTTCACCTTCAGCCGTGGGTTATGTTGTTGCTGGGGCACTGTTGGCCCCAAATCTGGTTTACTGCACACTTGCGTTTGCGTTCCAACCCTGTACGACAGCAACTTTGCAGAATGCCCTCTTGCACACCAGGACCCCTCTGGGGATGTTGGAGAGCCGGTTTCACCGAATCCTCACAGGCCAGGCCGAGGGACCCCACCTGCTGGAGGGCCCCCGCTCACTACGCAGACACCAGGGAGGGACCGCGGGAGGTTGGCTCTGGGGTTTGTCTGGCCCATCTCGCCCAGTTCTGCCCCACTGGGCACCTTCTAATTAATTTTCTTTCAATGCACGAATCTGTGCACCAGGTCACTAGTTAAAATATATTTAAAAATACATATAATAAGGTTTCAATAGTGATTGGAACATAGGAGGATGCTCAGTAAAAATGAGCTATCTCTTCCCCTCCTGTTCTTTGTGGTTGAGAAAGATTAAACAAGCCTCTTTCCTTTGGTTTTAGGGCTTTACCCTGGGAAAGGGAGGTAAAGGTGGAAGAAAGGTTACACATGCAATAGATTTTAAAAATTAAGCTACAAATGAGGCAGAGGAACAGTCTCCCCAGCAGATGCAGAGATGCAGATCTTTGTGAAGACCTTGACTGGCAAGTCCATCACCCTTGAGATTGAGCCCAATGACACCATTGAGAATGTCAAAGCTAAAATCCAAGACAAGGAGGGCATCCCACCTGACCAGCAGCATCTGATTTTTGCGGGCAAACAGCTAGAGGATGGCCGCACTCTCTCAGACTAAAATATTCAGAAAGAGTCCACCCTGCACTTGGTTCTTCGTCTGAAGGGTGGCATCATCGAACCCTCCCTCCGCCAGCTCATGCAAAAGTACAACTGCGACAAGATGATCTGCCACAAGTGTTATGCCCGCCTGCACCCCCGTGTTGTCAACTGCCGCAAGAAGAAGTGCGGTCACACCAACAACCTGCGCCCCAAGAAGAAAGTTGAATAAGGCCCCTCCACCAACTCCTTGGGTCTACAGGGCAGCCCTCTACCTGAACCCTATGACGCTGGGGCCTCAATAAAGTTTCTCTTTTGTTGACTGGAGCAATAAAAAAAATAAAAAGCTACATAAATATAATTACAGACTGAAATGAACAGCAGGAAATTTAATTTGTGAGACTCCTGCATTTAGATCAAAAGTAATAAGGTACAAATAGAGAAAAAAGCAAATTGTTTAGAGCAGGGGTGGGCCGTATAAGGCCTGCGAAATAATTTGGTGTGGCTCTGTCAAGGCATTAAGGTGAGATGTTTGACCAAATAGAGCAGGCTAATTTTTAAGTTGCTAATTTTAAGTGGCAACCTTTCGGTGTATGGGACGACGTCCAACCAACTGAGCCACACTAAGCCAGGGCTTTTGGAACCTTATTTTAATTTGAACAAAGAGGGCTAATTTTTAAGTTGCTAAACATCAATTGGCTGGACCGTGAATGTTGTTATAAATATCCAAATGCTCTTCGCAGGAAAAAGGTTCCCCGCCCCTCGTTTAGAGGATGCTATTATATAATGTATAAATGTCAATATGATTAAAAAACCTATATAGTGAGAAAATAAGTATTTTTCACATATTTAGTTAAAAAAAGAAAGACAAATACTGTATAATACTGCTATGTAAAATTTAAAATCATTTATATCACCCTGGCTGGTTTGGCTCAGTGGATAGAGCGTTGGCCTGCGGACTAGAGGGTCCCGGGTTTGATTCCAGTCGGGGGCATGTGCTCAGGTTGTGGGCTTGATCCTCAGTGGGGGGCGTGCAGGAGGCAGCCGATCAATGGTTCTCTCTCATCATTGATGTTTCTATCTCTATCTCCCTTTCCCTTCCTCTCTGAGATCAATAAAAATATATTTTAAAAAAAGATAAAATAATTTATATCATATAGGTATTTAAAATGTATAAATTGGAAAGAAAGATTACAATAATTCATGAGAGCAGCTGCATCAGAAGGGAGGAATGGGACCAGGTTGGAGGATATAAAGGAAATCTAAAATTTACCTATAATATTTTATCTACTTAAAAGAAAAAACTTGGGATGATGAATACATGGGTGTCTGCCATATAATTCTATATATATTTTAATATTTCAAAATAAATCTTAGAATAAAGAAATATAACCTAACCATTTTTTCATGTAAATAAGAGCCAGGGCTCTGATGAACTATTAACAGTATTTTTTCCATTTCTCTTCCATTATATACAACTGCAATAACTAAAATTGCAATAACCAACTGCAACTAAAATAACCAATGTGTTAGTAGATTCCATTAATAGTGTGCCTTTACTTCAAGAAAAGTGGTAGTCCCAATCTTCTCCCTACTACCAGATCATTTGGGATATTATGTTCAGTGCTGCTGGCCACAAAATGTTAGAAGTTTAGAATGGGGAAGGTCTTGAAATCCTATGCTAAAAGTGATATATGGCTGAAGTATAGGACTTCTTTAACTGAAAGAAAAATTCTAAGGGTTGACCCTATGGACTGATTGTCAAAATAATGGGACAAGGGAAAGACATGGGAATAACAGAGAAGCACATGGAGAATAAAGCTATCAACAAGATGACACAAAGGCATGAAGGCAGAGAGCTGGGAGCCTTTCTAATATTGCTAAGGACCAGCCAGCCCTCCAATGCTAAACCAAGGCTAGAAGAAGCCTGGCTTAAATGGGGCTAAAAAGAAACTATAATTGTATTGGTAGTAGTTGGGTACCTGTGAGGGGAAAAAGGAGAAGGGAGAGCAGGGCAGCTGGAGTCCCCACATTCATCAGGGGCTGCTTTAAATAATTCTTATGAAAACCCCAAGGCCAGCTGATCCCACCAGGGCACATATCTCTATTATTCTCATACCTGTCCAAAGTGGTCAATTCCAACTCTTCCTCAGCCTTGGAGTACACTGACCCCATCCCAGATCCATAGAATTAAGAAACTACCACTTCAAAAACGGCAGGAAATACCAAATTTTACACTTTAAATGAGTGACTTTTGTGATATTTGAAATACATCCCAATAAAGTTGTCTTTAAAAAAAGACTGCAGGGGAAGAGTCATTGATTTCTTCCACTTTACTCATTCACTCACTCAAGACTTACTCCCCTTACTTGTTTTTTTAAACCATTTGGCTGTATCACTTTTGTCATTGCTGTCTATTCATGCAGAGACCTTTACAACTCATGTTCACCTAATTCAGGTTACTTGGACCTAATACATTTTGTGCACAGGAGAGGACAACTCAGAGGATCAGATGAATAAGCTACTCTTTTTTGTTTCCAATTAGGAAAGAAAGCTTTGAAGCCTCAGATCTGATTTGCTGTGAACTCTGACACTTTTCTTGATATGCAAACTTTGTACAAGTTACTTAACCTCTTTGAGCCTCAGTTTCCTGAAAATGGAAATACCACCACCTGCTCACTATGAAGATGAAATTAAAAAACGTAAAATGTTGGCATAAACATTATAGTCATTACTATTATTTATTACCATGTTAATAATTATAACAATAAAATAATTCAGACCTGTCTTAGGAGGTTCATGCCTTGAAATAATCATCTCTGAACAGATAGGGCTCCTTACCAAAACTTCTGACCACAGATTGGCAGAAAAGGAACAGGTAGAAGTTTGAGCCAGACAGCACAAGGAAGCAGAGTCAAGAATCAACAAGAGCAGCGGTTCTCAACCTGTGGGTCGCGACCCCTTTGGGGGTTGAACGACCCTTTCACAGGGGTCGCCTAAGACCATCGGAAAACACATATATAATTACATATTGTTTTTGTAATTAATCACTATGCTTTAATTATGTTCAATTTGTAACAATGAAATTGGGGGTCACCACAACATGAGGAACTGTATAAGAGGGTCGCAGCATTAGGAAGGTTGAGAACCACCAAGCAAGAGCATACTATAGATCAAATCTTGGCCTCATAGGGATAAGGGAAATAGGCAACTGTAGGGTCCTTTCCCCACCCTGCTATCCATACAACCAGTCCTCCTTACTTGAGCACCTCTTCTCGACACTGCTTTTGGGGTGCGAAGCAGGCGATGGCCCAGACTTTGATCTCAATCCCATTGTAGAACTGCTTCCCTCGCATGTCCCAGACACCCTGATTGGGTGTGGCAATGGCCCGGTTCTGGAGATAGGCAAAGGGGGCGCCCAGGTGAGCCTCAGTAAAGCCAGGTGGGTAGGGGAACAAAAGCCCCTGGCTATACAACCCAACCTCCTCCCAAAATGCCCCAGAGATGTTGTCTGGCCCTGACCCTGCTCACCCGGCCGCCATACTGCAAGATGGGCGCCGGCAGCACTCGTCCTGTCACCTCCGTCATGTCATCCTTCACTTTGATCCCAAATTCCTGGATGTAGGGATCTAGGTTGTAGCTGGCATTCTTCATCTACAAGACAAAAGAAGGGGATCTCAGGAGAGTAGCAGCTTGGCAATAATGCTCACCCTCTGGGTCCCAAGTAGAATGCCCTGGGCAGCTGAGACTGGCGAGAAATAGCCCTAAAAAAGGAGGGAAAGTGGAAGATGATGAAAGTGGGAGGGGATAACATAGGGAAGTAAGATAAAAGGGAAAGAGAAATAGGAAGCAAAGTAGCTACAGGGTCAAGAAGCAAGAGCAGTGCTATGGAGTCCCAGGCAACAAATCTAGACGTGTGTCCTCCCGAGAGTCCTGCCAAGGCAGAAAAGCATCTATGCTACCAGGGGCCCCAGTGACTGAGCAATCGAGCACATGTTTCTCTGCAGCCCCACTGACCAGGCGGCTGATCTCCTCCTGTCTGTCTGGGGCCGACCTAGCTGTAGCCTTTATCATGGTCGAAGTCTGATTGTCGGTCAGCTTCTTAATGCAGCGCTGCCCAGCCACAATGTTACAGACCTGAGGAAACAAGGAAGACAGTTCTGGCTTGAGTTCAGTCCATCCTATACTGAGTCCCACAGTAAGAGAAGAGACCTTGGCTGTCAGCCTTGGGAAGAGGACTGCAAAATTCTTTGGGCATACAGGTAAGTTGGAAAATATCCATGTGCAATACCAAAGACAAAATAGCCATTTTGTAATTAAGAGCTAAGGATCCAACCTGGTATGGGTCAGTGAATGAGTGTTGGCCTATGAAGCTGGACATTATGGTTCGATTCCCAGTCGGGGCATATGCCCAGATTGCGGACTCCATCCCCAGTAGGAGGTGGTGTGCAGGAGGCAGCCGATCAATGATTCTCTCTCATTATTGATGTTTCTTTTTCTCTCTCCTTTCCTCTCTGAATATTAAAAAAGAAAAAAGACAGCTAAGGATCCAGCACCAGATCTGGGCTCAGTCTCATATGTTAAATGGGGAGAACAGTAACAATCTCATAGGGTTGTTTGGAGATTAAATAAAATAAAGCACTTAAAGGACTGAGTACCATTCTAGAACACTATAAACTCAATAAATTGCAGGATAACTTATTATTTACCAAACCTCCCAGTATAGAGCTCTTCTGAATACTAAAAAACTCAATATGCACAAACTGGATTCATAAGGTAGTAAAGCAGCTCTCCAATGGTGGCAAGCGGGCCGGGAGGAGTGCGAGCAGTGCTGTGCAGCTGGCCCGGCTCGGGCTCGGGCTCCTCCCTTGCCACCTGCCGATTGGCGTACTGCTACATCCCTCGGGGGATGTCCGACTGCCGGTTTAGGCCCGATCCCTGCAGGTCAGGCAGGGGTTCCGGATTGCAAGAGGGTGCAGGCCAGGCTGAGGGACTCCCCGCCCCATGCCCCCCCCCCGCATGAATCCGTGCACCAGGCCTCTAGTATTATATAATTTGATTTATATGAAATATCCAAAATAGACAAAGTCACAGAGACAGAATAGATTAGTGATTACTAGGGGTGGAAGGGAAAGTGTGGGGGCAAAGGAATAGTGACTATAATAGTTATGGACTTTCTTCTGGGGATGGTAAAAATATTTTAGTGTCAGCTAGTGGTGATGATTGCATAACGGTGAAAATACTAAAAAACCACTGACTTGTACATTTTAAGAGAGTGAATTTTATGGTATGTGAATTATATCTTGATAAAGCTATTCTTTAAAAAAAAAAAAATCCCACCAGGCTATATAGCCTACATGACTTGACCCTCAACCTCTCCCTAAAATCATCTCCTACTACTTTTTCCCTCATATACTACATGCCAGCCACTATGGCCTCTGTCTATCTCTTAAAAAGACCCAAGCTTCCTGCTGGTTTAGATAGAGCCTTTGTACTTGCTACTTACCTCATGCCTAGAAGGCTCTTTCCTCAGGCTGTTACAAGGTTGATTCTATCTCATAACTTGGGACTCAGCTCAAATGTCTCCTAAAAGAGGCCTTCCCTGACCACAATAACTAAAGTGGCTCTCCTAACTCCTCCACCCTTACTTCTATCCCCTAAATCTGTTTTATTATTCTTATAGCACTTACCACCATCTGAAACTATCTTATTTATCAATTATTATCTATCTCTCCCTTCTACAATGTAAGCTCCATGACAGCAGCGACCTTGTCTTGTTAATCTCTACATTCTGGCACCTAAAAGAGTATATGACACATAATAGGAGCCCAAAAAATATTTGTTAAATAAACAATAGTAAATGTCGAAATATAAGTCATTGTATAAATTATTCACCTTGGAAAGTATTGTTTAAACAGAAGTAATATTGCCCAGCTGGGTGCTCAGTAGGTTGGAGCATTGTCTCATATACCAAAAAGGTTGTGGGTTTGATTCCAGGTCAGGGCACATACCTAGGCTGCAGGTTTGATCCCTGGTTTGGGGTGTATGGGAGACAACTGAGAAATGTTTTCTCTCTTTACTCCCTCTTTCTCATCAATAAACATATCCTCAGGTGAGGATTTAAAAACAAAACAAAACAGAAGTAATGTTAATTTGCTAACAAATCTCAACTGGTAGTAGATATTATCTAAAGCCTATCTACTTAGCTGAGATCATCCCTAAAGACTTCTGTTTATATCTCAGAGAAAATATTGCCTTCATCCCACTTTCTGTGCATCAGCACCTATTAACTAAGTCAAAGTTCTTGGGTTTTGGAATCTCTTCTCTCTTCAGCCCAGTTCCCTCTAGTTAGCTCTGAAATCCCAGAGGCTAACAGAAGGCTTGAGCTTTGGTCCTATTTGACTCCTGCTGCTGGAACAAAGTAAGACAATAGCCTAAGTTAGTGCTTCTCCAACTTTAATGTTCATATGAATCCTCTTTGGATTCTGTTAAAAGACAGATTCTGATTCAATAGGTCTGGTGGAACCTGAGAATCTGTATTTCAAATGAGCTCCTGTATAGTACCCATGTTGTTGGTCCATTGGCCACACTTTAAGTAGCAATGGACTAGACAATGAAGCAGTCAGCAGTAGTTTCTCCGTAGACATTTTGTCTGTTGTCTATCTAACCAAATGCAGCACTATAGTTCCATATTTGTATTCTATAACTTAAAAATATTACTACTGTCTTTAATTGCAGGATTTTAAACATCTGTTGAAACATAAAAATATAACAAATCTTGGGTCTAAAACTTTTTTAAAAAGAACACATTGATCATTAGGAAAATAGGATTCATGTTATACTAGTAGGTAATAACTTTCATCTTCATTTTCTATAAAATAAGGTACACTTGTATCTCTAGGTTTTTTCACATCCTGAACTTCAGAAGACAGGGAAAGAGAAATTAAGAGGACATGAATGTGGGTATTTGAAATCTAATTAATCACTTATTAGACAGTAAATACAGCTTTCACCTCTGCCTGGCAGCCCTAAAAACATGAGAGCAGTATTGGAAATAAGAAAACAATTTAGCAGGTAAGAATGAGGCCTACATTTCGCAGAATGACCTCATATCTCTCAGAATGTCAATTTCCCAAACTTCAAAATGAAGATGAGAGATTACAAATAGAGAGCAGACCTCTGATGATCAGTGTGCAGATACAATGCTTGTTTCCCAGCCCAACCATTACTTGGCAGCCTCACCTCCAGGGGCAGGTAGGTATGCTTTTGTTCCTGGCCAACTTGCAAGCAGGGCAGGTGGGGATACTTGAGCTGAAGGTTATATTTCTGCTTGAAATACTGTGCCACTGTGCACTCCACAGTTTGTCCACTCTCCAGCTGCAAGGGAAACCTGTTTGGAGGAAAGAAAGGAGGTGTCAGAGCTCAGGACTGATTCCCACCTCTCCAGACCTACAACCATGGAAGCCCCAGACTTGGCTTTATCACTATCCAGCCTCTTTAGAGTACTGCCACTCTTGGGAAAGCAGGCAATACAGGGCTCCAAAAGAGAAGCCAAAGATTTGAGCAGCAAGTTCCACAACCAACAGGACCTGACCTTACTCATCTGTATTTCCAGTGTTGGGCATAAAGCCTGACACACAGTAGGTGCTCATAGTCCAGTATAGTCTGAGGTCAAGAAGGTAGATGAAATCAGTGAGGGCTTTCCCAAGGTCTAGCCCAGGAGCTTTCTTTTTCAGGAGGAAATATAAGTTGAAAGAGATGCTAACATTTACAAACTGATGGAAGAGTCAGGGGAAGATGCCTGATCTATGGCAAAGGCCCATGGAGGAAAGATGGAGACCAAGAAGGCAAAAATGGTAGGGAGAGTATCAATGGACCTGGGAAGGTTGGGACAGGGGTGACAAATACCCACAGCTTATTCAAAAACAGGGCCAGTCCAAGACTTATTCACAAGGTCAGTGGTGGAACGGGAGGGAGTGAAGGGAGTGTGTTGAAATATCTGTCCTCTTCCACTAATGGTATAGCTTAGCAGCCCTGTCAACTTACGTCTGATGGCTGGCAGGGCGGCGTGTAACATTACACACACGGTATTTCCTCTTCATCTGTCCACAGTGGGTCACTTCTACCTTCAGGCCTAGAATATACACACTGCTTGTCAGGGTTGAAACAAGTTGCTCATGTTCCCAGGCTTGGCCTCTCTCCTGAACATATCCCCAGGGGATTTTCTTTTAGGGCTAAAGAAAAAGTAAGGCTGTTTCTCTTCCCTGCCTGCTTGGGTCCTCACCCTTGATCTCCTTGGTAAAGCGCACACGCTGAGAGTCCGTGAGCGGCTTGGGCTGCTCATCTATGTTCCTGATGTCCAGCACCTCACACATGAACTCAATCACCGGCTGTGCCTTGTAGAAGGCAGTGGCTGAGACTGTGGGGACAGAGTAGGTATAGCTTAGCTCAGGTTCTGTCTTCCAGAATAAATGGAAGTACTGCTCTTTACACCCTCTTCCTTATAGGGTTATGGGATGGGGGAGGGGTACAGGGCCGTAGGGATTAGACTAGGAATATGGTTGCAGAGCTGAGAGGGATGAGGCTGGGAGTGCGGTCAATGGACTCAGGGTGCCCCTGGCTCCATAGCTCTCCCCACTCACCATCAATGTTGAGCATCATCTTCCACATGGCAGGGCGCACAGACTGGTGAAAGCCGAACCAGACCTCGCGCCCACCCCCCAGCGGGTGGTAGTAGCCCTCAGGCGGTGAGAAGAAGGAGCGGCCCACAGGGGTGTACCTGGCAGGGACAGGCAGAGAACTGGTCCCTCGGGCACAGGCCCCCACCCTGTGAGGCATCCTGGGCACGGAGGAGCCCTGGCCTGGAAGGCAGGACACCAGGGCTTTAATTCCAGCTCTGATCCTTTACTAGTTGTGTAACTGACCTTGTGAAGTCTCTACCCTTTCTCTGCCCTGCAGGGACAGATGGGGTGCAGCTCAAAGATATCTAAAAGGGACAGGACCAATGATTTAACCCATCTAAATGTATATACACACTTGCTTGGCATGTGATACGGTTTCAAAGAATATTTTGTTTGAAAAGCACACTGTAGGACCTTAATATGTGCTCATTCCCCTCCGCCCCTGCCCCACTACGCCCATAGCAGTTCTGACACCGCTAGTAGCCCAGATACTAACTATACCCAGTACCTCATGGATGCCAGATGTCTCATGGCCACATCAAGGGCTTGCACAGACTCCAGGGGAACAGGGATCTGGCCACTGACCAGGGCCTCATGCAGCATGCGCCAGCTCACAATGGCTAGCCACTTGATGGAGACCTTGAATATTCGATCCTTCCCTTCCCCGGGGATTGTCACCTCAAAGTCAACCTTCAATAGAGAGAAAGAGGGGAAGGACTGTCAATGCTTTCTCACAGTCCAACATTCCCTGCCCTGCCCCACCCCAACTGTGGATTTGCTAAGAATCTGTCCCTTAAGCTGATAGGAGTTCACAATGAAAACTTCACAGTAAATGCAGCTTAGTCTCCAGCCACCTTGGCTCAGTCTCCTTGTTTCAGTGCTTCTGTCTCTCTCAACCACACCTAGCAGAAAGTCCTTAAGGTCTAGGTCTATTTTAAGTCTATTCTCAATCTGCCTAGAACAGGGATAGACATATAGCAAGTGAAACAAACATCAGCACCTATCCATCCCTCACCCTAGAACACACTTTCTCAGCACAAAAGAATGAAAGGGATCTCTGGACTGCCAGACTGGAAACAGGCTTACATGAGCTCTGTCCCATCCCAGACCCCTTGACACAGGTCTAGACTCCCACCTTACCCGTTCATTGCCAATGGGCAGTGCTGTGACAGTGTAAATGTTCTTCTTTCCATCATACACGGGCTTGCGATCACCAAAGATCTGAGGCTTGAAATGCTGGACCATGTATTCCACCACTTCCCTGTGGGGATAGGAACAGCCTGTGGAAGCTGAGAGACTACCACTTCAAGCTTTTAGAAGTAATTAAAAGGTCAGGGAATGTTCCATCTACTACATTCTCTCCTAGCAGCTACTCTTTTCTTTTTCCATTCTCATACAAAGACATGTTTTTATTGGTTTTGAGAGAGAGAGAGAGAAACATCTATATGAGAGAAACATTGATCGACCACCTCTCATATGCTCCCTGACCAGGGATCAAACCCCAACATTTTGGTGTATGGGACGACGCTCCAACCAACTGAGCCACCCAGCCAGGGCCTAGCAGCTTTAATCTCATCTGCTCTGTCACTGTGCTTCTCAAACTTCAATGTTCATATGAATCATCTGGAGTTCTTATTAAAATGCAGATTCTGATTAAAATGAAGATTCTAACTCAGTGGGTCTAGACCAAAGCCTAAAATTCTACATTTCTAACATGCTCCCATGTGATGCTTCTGGTCTTCACATCACTAAAGGTCCTAAAGGACCTAAAAGAGTGAGTGCCTTCTAAACAGAGAGGGAGACTAAGGGGAGAAAGGCTTTTATCTTAGGGTCTATCCAGAATCAGGAATAGAATTGAGGCTCCTCTAATTCCCAAGCTGATAATAAAAAAATATGGATGGGAAAGAGATCTAAATTAGGATAGGAATAAACTGTGGAAGAAGAACCTCATCTCCTCCATCTCTCTGAAGCCCTTAGGTCCCACCACCTATTGTTATCTCTTTCTAGATTTCACATTCTATACTCTGCCACTTAGATACCACAGTATCCATCTATCCTTCAAAATCCCAAACCATCCAACCATTTGACATCTTTACTTTCTAAACCAAAGCTTTTGAGTAGTACTGGATAAAAACATTCAAAATGTATATTGGAAGCAACTGTAACCAGTTAGGTTTCAGTGCTACCCAACAATCTTTTTCATGTCCTGATCACTTCCATTCCTCACAGACTATGTCAAACCTTCTCAACTACCTCCTAACACCAGAACCTATTTCTATCTCCTATCAAAAAGCAACCCTAGAAGATGACGGCATAGGTAAACGAGGTACTCGCATCCTCCCACAACATCAAGATTACAACTAAAATACAGAGAACCATCATTGAGAACCACCTGAAATCTGGCTGAATGGAAGCCCTACAACTAGAGAATTAAAGAAGAAACCACATTGAGACTGAAAATGATAAAAAGCAAGGACCTACAACTAAGATTACTCTACCCAGCAAAGCTATCAAGAATTGAAGGTCATGCCCTAGCTGGTTTGGCTCAGTGAATAGAGCATCAGCCTGTAGACTGAAGGGTCCTGGGTTCGATTCCGGTCAAGAGCACATACCCAGGTTGCAGGCTCAATCCTTAGTAGGGGGTGTGCAGGAGGCAGCCGATCAATGATTCTCTCTCATCACTGATGTTTCTCTCTCTCTCTCCCTCTCCCTTCCTCTCTGAATAAAAATATACTTTAAAAAAATGATAAGAATTGAAGGTCAGATAAAGAGTTTCACAGACAAGAAAAAGCTAAAGGAGTTCATCACTACCAAACAAGTATTACATGAAATATTGAAGGGTCTTCTTTAAGAAGAAGAAAAAGAAGAAAAGATAAAAAATATGAATAATAAAATGGCAATAAATACATATTTATCAAAAATTGAATCTAAAAAATCAAAATAAACAAACAGGAATCTAATGAACAAAATAAACTGATGAATAAAATAGAACCAGAGGCATGGAAACATGGAACAGAATGACAAATCTCCAGAGGGAAGGGGGGAGAGGCGGGGTGGGAAGAGATTACCAAAGAATTTATATGTATATATGCATTAACCATGGACACAGACAATACAGTGGTGAAGGCCTAGGAGCAGCGGGATCTGGATGGAGGAGGGCAATGGGGGGGAGTAAGGGAGAGACATCTGTAATACTCCCAACAATAAAGGCTAAAAAAAAAAGGCAACTTTAAAAGTCTGAACAGAGTTATAGTAAACCATAGTATGCAAAGTCCCCCCCACCAAGTTCCCAGGCATACAGTCATATTTATATATTCAAGCCTCTTCATTTTCTTTCCTCAGATTTGAAACATCCTTCCATATATGATTTTTAAACATCTGAAAAATATGTTCAACTTTACTCATTAGACCAAAATACAGAAAAACAGACACACAGATCAATGAAACAGAATTGAGAGCCCAGAAATAAACCCACACATATAATGAACAACTAATTTACAACAAAGGAGCCAAGAATATACAATGGAGAAAGTCTCTCCAATAAATGGTGTTCAGAAAACTGGATATTATTATGCAAAAGAATGAAACTGGACAATTATCTTACACTGTACACAAAAATTAACTAAAAACGGATCAAAGACTTGAATTTACAACCTGAAACAATAAAATACATAAAGAAAATATAGGCACTAAGATTCTAGACATTGGTCTTAGTGGTCTTTTTGTGAATTTCACTTCAAAGGCAAGAGAAACAAAAACAAAAATAAACAAATTGAACTATATCAAACTAAAAAGCTTCGGCACAGCAAAGGAAACCATCAACAAAACAAAAAAGAAACCAACTAAATGGGAGTAGATATTTACAAATGATGTTTCCAATAAGGAGCTAACATCCAAAATATATAAAGAATTTATACAACTCAACAACAAAAAAACAAACAACTGAATTTAAAAATGGACAGAGGATCTGAATAGACATGTTTCAAAGGAAAACATACAAATGGCCAATAGGCACATGAAAAAATGTTCAACATCAATAATTATTAGGGGAATGCAAATCAAAATCATGGGACATCAATCACCTCATACCTGTTAAAATGGCTATTATCAAAAAGGAAATAATAGCAAGTGTTGGCAAGATGTACAAAGGGTTTTGTAAATTGATACAGCCACTAAATTATGGAGGTTTCTCAAAAAATTAAGAACTACCATCTAATCCAGCAATTCCTCCTCTGGGTATTTATCCAAAAATATGAAAACTAATTTAAAAAATCTATGTACCTTATGTATACTGCAGCATTACTTACAGCAGCCAAGATTTTAAAAAACCAATTAGTGTCTATCAATGAATGAATATGTAAAGGAGGTGTGATGTATATAGATATAGACATATAATGGAATACTACTTAACCATAAAAAGATGAAATATTGCCATTTGCAAGAATATGGAGGGATCCTGAGAGTATTATGCTAAATGAAATAAGACAGAAGAAAAAAGATAAAACCGTATGATTTCACTCATACATAGAATATAAACCAAAAAGTAACAAATGAACAAACAAAAGCAAATTCATAGATTCAGACAACATGTTGGTGGTTACCAGAGAGAAGGGGTTGGGGGAAGAGTGAAATGGATAAAGGGGTCAAACATATGGTGATGGGTGGAAACTAGGCTTTTGGTGGTAAGCACCCAATAGCATATAGAAATACTGAATTACAAAGTTGTAAACCTGAAATTTATGTTATTATTAATCGATGTTACCTCATTAAAAAAAAGAAGCCAGCTCGGCTAGTGTTGCTCAATAGTTGAGCATCGACCTATGAACCAGGAGATACCAGTTCAATTCCAGGTCAGGCCTAGCCGGTTTGGCTCAGTGGATAGAGTGTCAGCCTTCCGACTTAAGGGTCCCAGGTTTGATTCTGGTCAAGGGCACATGCCTGGGTTGCGGGCTCAATCCCCAGTAGGGGGCATGTAGGAGGCAGCCAATCAATGAGTCTCATCATTGATGTTTCTATCTCTCTCTCCTCCCTTCCTCTCTGAAATCAATACAAATATATTTAAAAAAGAAAAAAATATATATATATATAGAAGCCAAACCCTGGTGGTTAGAGAATAGGCCTGTAGACCGAAGGGTTGCAGGTTCTTTGATTCCCTGCCAGGGGCACATACCTCAGTTGCAGGTTCAATCCTCACCCCTGGTTGGGGGTGTGAGCGGGAGGCAGCCAATCGATGTTTCTCTCTCTCTCTCTCTCTCTCTCTCTCTCTCTCTCCCTCTCCTTCCCCCACTCCCTTTCACTCTCTCTAAAACTCAGTGGAAAAAATATCCCAACTCCTTCAGTGAGGATTAAAAAAACAAGGAAGCCAAACCCTGAATGAAATTATGAGATAAATATTTTTCATATGAATTGAAATTCTATAATAAAAAATGGAAAAGTAATAAAAATTAAATTCAAGTATAATTTCTACTTACCAAAATGTCCAAGATAAAAAATACAATATATTAGATTGGTGCAGATATGGGGAAGAGGCACTTTTTAAAAAAATTGATTTCAGAGAGGAAGGGAGAGGGAGAGAAACATCAATGATGAGAGAGAATAATTGATTGGCTGCCTCCTGCATGCCCCCCACTAGGGATCGAGCCTGCAACCTGAGCATGTGCCCTTAACTGGAATCGAACCTGGGACCCTTCAGTCCGCAGGCCGACACTCTATCCACTGAGCCAAACCAGCTAGGGCAAGAGGCACTCTTAATACCTTGTTAAAGGGAGTAAATATTGGTACAGCTTACTTTAAAAAAACTAGCATTATCTCAGAATTTTTAAATGGTCTATGCCAGCAAATCCACTCCTAGGAATTTATCCTATACATACACTCATACTTGAGTGAAAAATGTATACATATTTAATAATATTTAATACAGTTTCATTTTTGTAGCAAAAGTTTACTCAACCTAAATGTTCCTCAACAGAGTTATTAAATTATAATAACATCACATTCAATGAAATACCTATTGAGCAAAGAATGAGGCAGACATGCATGTACTGATATTCTTATTTTCCAAAATATATTGTTTAGTAGGAAAAAAAACAAGGTGTATAACAAGGTATATAGGATTCTATATTCTATACATATATGTTTGCATATACAAACAAAAATATCTGGAAGCATACTCAAGAATGGTAACAATCATACTCAAAAAATGGTAACAATAAATGCCTCTGGGGAAAGGGACTAGGACACTGGAGATGAGGGCAACAAGAGAAATCTTTCACTACTATTCTTTTTGTAATATTTCAAATTTATTTACATTGTATGTATATAATTTTCAAATACTTATAAAATATAATTTAAAAATAAATATTGCAAGGGGGGGAGGTAAGAGATCAACCGAAGGACTTGTATGCATGCATATAAGCATAACCAATGGACGCCAGATACTTGGGGGTAGGGAGGCCGGGGGAAGGTCAATGGGGAAAAAAAGAACACATATGTACTACTCTTTGTAATACTTTAAGCAATAAAATAAAATTTTAAAAAAAAAGAAATATTGCTGCTTCTCTCTAAGGATAATCCCTCCAACTATGTATCCTATAATGTCCTCCTGCCTCAGCAAGGACATCCCACTCATTCTTCCCCTCTCTGTCATGTACCTTTAACCTCTCCTCCACTAGCTCCTTCTCCTCAGTTTATAAACATATCCATGTCTCATTCTTAAAAACTTTTCATTCATTCATTTCAACAAATATTGAAATGTAATAGGCTAGGCACTGTACTTGACCCCTATAATCCACTCTAGCCAACATATTCCCTATCTCCCCGTGTTTCACTGCCAAGCTATCTGGGAAAAGCTTTCTGGTCTCACCATCCCTACCACATTACCGTCCACATATTCTTTAATTCACTATAATTAGATTACTAGCCCAACTTCTTTAATAAAACTGCTCTGACAAAAGGTACTAATTATGTCCAAATAGCCAAATCCAATGATATTTTCCTTACTTGGAATCTCTTCCTCAAAAGCTTTTTTGTTGAATTTGATAATACTACCCTCTAGTAGTTTGTTTGTTTACATCTCTGGATCCTCTTTCGAGGTTCTGAGACTCAGAAAAGTAAAGACTCCTGTATTTGGTGTCTTAGATGTGCATCACTTACCGGTTGACTCTGCGAGGACACTTATCTGGTTTGATATCCACCTCGTAGTGGTAGACGTCAATCTTAGGGATGTCCACCTCAAAGTAATTGGCCAGGAGCTTGATTGGTTTCCCCACTGTGCCAATGCCAGGCCTTCGAGGTGCCTGGAACACCTGCTGCAGAGGGGGCAGGTATGCGCCTGCAGCTACAAGACAAAGAGGCTGGTAAGGCTAAAGTCTAGTCATCTCCTTACACTCCTATCAGAGAAGGCACAAGGTTCCCTAGAACAGGAGCAGGAGAGTGCAAGGGGAGCTCCTTTCCTGCCTACCCAAGCCAACTAAGGGTTTCCACTGGCTCAGACATCCCAGGCTAATTTTTTTTAAAGTTCTCTTCAATTAGGAAAATTACCCTTGCCTATCTTAAATTCAACTGAATATGTAATAAGTTCCTATTGCATGTTAAGTAGAGGGGATAAATCTGGCTCCCAGTAACAAAATCCTTCCTTCTATGAGATTAATACACATGCCTCCACCAGGTATCTAACAGACCAAGAATGCCCTAGTCTCTGTAGCAAGTGCTCACTTCATTCATCACCATCCCAAACACAAAACAGCATCATCTTAATGCTCCTCTGTAAGCAGGAGGAAAATTTTTAAAAAGGCCAGGTTGGGGGTTGGGGCAGTGTTTGTTTGAGAAAAGATTAAGGCAACTAAATGGCTAAGGCTGGAGACAGAAAAGGAGAAAGGGCTAAAAGGATAGAGTTTGGAAACTAAGGAAAGAAGAGAGGCTGAAGTTGGGAGCTGGCCAAGAAACTAGACTGGAGGTTAGCAGAAAAAGGCCTGAATTGGGAGCCAAGGAAGGACGAAGGTTAGAGTTAGGGCTGGGGAAACACAGGTTAGAGTTAGGAGCTTGGGCAAGAAGCAAGGCTGCAACTGAGGAAACAATAAAAAAGTTCAAAAGAGAAAGCTAGGGAATAAAGACAGGCTGCATATAGGAGACTGAAGCTAGAGTAGAGGACTTGGGAAAGAGAAGCAGCTATTAGAATGCTGAAGAAGGGAGAGATACTGGCTCTGGGAAGGAGAATACAAGATTGTCTCCACGGTTCACAGCTCCTTCCATATAGAGAGCCCTGACAGTAGCAGGAGGGATCAATTTCAAGACAGATAGGACCCTGGGGAAAGGGCTAGGGCAAGGCCACTACTTTCTCTTCTCTAGCCACAAGCATGATTGCTGCCTCCAGTTTTATTTTCTAGCTTGAGGGGAAAGGGAGGGAAAAACAGCCTAAGAGAAGCCTTTGTCTAGAGTTACTATTGTCCTGGCTGGTAGAGGACCAGCTCAGGTGGGAGATGAGATGAATAAGCCAGCCCAGAACCTCCCATCACCAGAGCTCTGCTTTCAGTCTGGCTGGCGGGGAGGGGGGGCGCATATCCTCATCTGGGGGGTCAGGAAGAGATCAGAACCATTCAAGGGAGGGGCATGCTTCCCAGAGTTAAACTGCTGTCTCCTTCTAGCCACCTGTCAAGTCCAGCCCCACAATGTAGACTGGAAATGCAGGCCCAGCCTGGGGGCAAAAGGCCTTTAGGACTCAGCTACACGGGGAAGTGAAAGCTAACTACTAGCACCTGGCCACCTACCCCAAAAAGAGGTGAACAGAAATTACACACAAGGCATAGACAGACACACACACGTAATGTGACACTTTCTAGTCATACACATCCAAACACTCACTTAGACCTAGACAAAATCTTTACACACATACCCCTCACTACCCTAGATTGTAAGTTCTTCAAAGGCAGGGACCATCTGCCCTGGTCACTGCTGAATCTCCTGTGTGAATGCCTGGCACACAGGAGGTGTTCAATATACAGATATTAAATGAATGAACAAACTGATCTGCAGACACACCACAAAGAACACACACAACACACAAACACACAAACACCTGCAAATTGCTCAGAAACAATTATGAATCCTGCACAGGACAGACGTGTACCCTGGTAGATGTAGCTGGTATAAGACACCCTTCCCCTCCCCAAGTTCTTACTTTCCATTCACCTCCTTAGTCTCCCCCAGGCGGAATAACCATTTGGAGCCCTGAAAAGACATCCCTAGAGCTGGGCTAGGTAGAACTGAAGGGGGATGGAATAAACACTCTAGCCTCAAAGCCTTCTTTTCCCCAGAAATAGGACTACAGACCAGACAGCCTTAGGCACCAGGCACCCTCTACTCCAAGGAGGCTTTGGGAAAACAAGAAAGCCCCCAAGCTCTCCCTCATCCCCAAACTAGGGAAGGCTGGAGTAAGCTCTCTCCTATCCCATCCCCCTGCAAGCCTCACAGCTGTAGAAAGTCCACTCAC